TGGTCCTGTTGGGTTCGCGGGAGGAGAGTGCTCTGAAAGGGAGATGGGAGGTCAGGGTGGCCTGCCAGCTACGCCTCCTGATCAAGAGGTGGGCATGTYARACGACTCGGAGGACRACCATCCGCGTGCTCCTTTGAAACCGGGCTTGCATGTATCTCGCCGCCACGGTTTGCTTGGGCAGTCGACGCCACATGGAGGCGGCGATGGCGAACGGTTGCGACAGGGCTCAGAATCGACAACTCCTCGTTGTCTGGTCGAAAGGATCGGTTCGTTCGTTTGTGGCATGCAGGTGGCCGAGGTTTCGCCTGAAGATCGAGCGGGTGGTGTGCAGGTTCGAGAGGTGCGTGGGTYAGATGAGRCGACTCGCCASGCCCGACCAGCGCCGGGGGAACTGCAGACGGACTTGAGCCAGGAACGAGAAGCAAGTGGGAACGTCGCCGGTGAGGAGGAGGTGTCSGAGYAGKGGCTGTTCYGTGAGAGATCGGCTGAAAAGATACAGYCGGGAGGCAAGCGCAACTTGCCRGATGAGGAAGAGCRAGAGGGACTAGGTGCTTTGAAAAGGCAGAGAAAGGTAGGAGGGAGTGCTCGRACGCCAACAACACGAGAGGGGGGTTCCGTTGAGAAGAGGAAAAGGGTTGGAGGTGGGGATGAAACGCCAAGAGACTCGTCGACACAGCGAAGAACCGGTGAGTCTTCCGGGAAAAGGGCGAAATCATCGAGGGGGAAGAAAGCAGACGAGGGCGATAGCGGGGAGGGGGATGACGACGTGGACATTAACCTCAATGCCCTTAACCTCGACAAGGCGTTCTTCCTCGAGATGCAGACATGGGTGCAGAAGGACGTCGTGTTGCACATCCATCCCGAAAGAATATTAGCTATTCCTGACTTGGAAGACGCGTACAACCACCGATCCTTGGACGAGTTCCTCGTTGATACAATCGCGTTGGCTATGATCGACTGCTACGAACGTAAAGACATGAGATACACGAAGCCCATTTTCGTTCTCGCTCTGATCGTCGCGCCTCCAGAGAACTGCGAGCCTGCTGTGCGCGTGCTGCTTGCTGACTTCGACAACTCACACCCGGAGAGATACTGGTATTATCCTGTGTGTGGACAGCATAACGCGAGGGCGGCGATGATGGTGAAAGACCATCCCGTGTTTGATTACTACAACTTCTGTAAATGGCCGTTCAGACCGATCTGCTTCCTTGACGACGAGTTCGACGGCTATGCCCATGTCAGCTTCGAAGACAACATGAAAGACAAGAAGAATCCACCGCGCTTGCAGGTTTTATCTATGCGAGACATTCGCAATATCTGGAAAATTAAGGGCAAACCGTGTGTGGTGCTTGACAATGCCTCGAAGAAATAGGACGAGGTGCGAAAGTGGGTGCAGTTCATGGCGTTGGCAATGAAGAAGACGTCGTACACGCTTATCTGGAACCTGTCAACGGAAGCAAAGAAAAGAAAGGAATGGGCTGAGAAACTTCGATACTACCTCCCGCTGGCCATGGCAGATGACTCCGTCTTCGCTTTGGGGGTGAAGTTCTATGAGGAGTGGTCGAAAAGGAAACTCCTTGCTTCCGACGGCCGGCGTTGGACTGAAAAGCCGCCCACCCATGAGGAGGTGGCCAAGCCAGGACTCTCCACTGTGACTGACAGCCAGGGGTTGAAGAAACACGTCTGGTAAGTGAAGGTGGACGACCCGTCGTTGAAAAAGGGCAGGGGGAAGCCAAAGAAAGGCGCAGAGGAGAAAACTTTCTACGTCCAAGTTTTTGAGCCGGATGCCCACTGCTGGAAGGAATTGGTGGACTTGACAGACCGCGAGAAGAAAAGGTTGTTGAACGGCGTCTTGAACCTTAACGCCGTGTGGGTTCAAACGAGTAGCAAAAAGTTGGCCGAGCAGGGGAAGTTCACTGTCAAGCAGATGGTCGACATAATAAAAATGGACCGGATTATGCTGAGGCTGTGGCACTACCTGGAGTTCGAGTACGAGGAAATAGATAAGCGGGAGTGGAATGCCAACTCCACGTTCTTCAGGTCGAAGAAGCAACTGTTCGAAGAGTTCAAGGACAGAGGTCTCGACGACAAGCTTTGGAACGAGAGCAGGAAATTYTTCACGGACACCACATATGTCAACAAGTGCCCTCAGTTTCTCAGGTGTCAACACGACAACAACATCAAGAGAACAGCGGCCCTCGTCAACGACCAGCATTTCCCGGCGGGGTGGAAGCGTATCGTCCTTTCGGTGATCACTGGAGATCACGCCAAAGGCAAAAAAGGCCCTCGGGGCGTTGATGAATGCATCAACATTATGGTGACAAGGACAAGCGCCTTGACGATGCTGGCCCAGTTTAACGTTGACCCGTTGAGTGCCATAGATCATAAGCAGGCGCTGGGAAAACTGGGGCATCAGCTACGCTCCCACACTTGCGTGCTCGACTTGTGCGGTGTTGTGGACCGTGCGCAAAGGGACTCTGGGGCATTCGCGTCTTTGAGTGAGTTGTTGGGCTTTGTTTGTCAGGACTACTGGACATTGGTGGTATTCGTCTCCTGCCTGTGGAAACTCTCCTTCATGAGATGTTTGTCTGCGCTTGGGGCTACCCGATGCTACATAGGGAAGTGGGTTCGGAAGACGGCATCGAAGAAGACACATCAGTTTGGAAACAGCGTCTCGGAGGAGCCGGATGTGATGCACATCCTTTTCAAAGGCGAGGATCCTTGGCTACTGACTCACCCGGTGTACGAGGGAGATGTTGCTGAAGACGACGCCGCCGCTCTCCGGAGGAAACAGAAAGTGACACCCACGGATGTAGAGGAGAAGTCTTTCAAGTCTTTGACTTTCGCGGACATCAGAAACCTGACCCAGAGGGGGGCTCTGTACAAGGACGGCGAGCGGAATCCGAATCAGTTGTGCAATCAGCTTCTTTTCTTCTGTGGTGTGGTGGATGCCGTGCTGTTCTTGGGCAAGCCGCACGCGCAGGTGGTGTGGAGTCTGCTTCAGCAGGGAAGGCACGTCTTGGCCGTGGATGGGGACACAACGCAGCTCGAATACACCGTGCAGTATGTCACCCATGAAGTGTCGTCCAAGGCTTACCCATGCGATTTCCACCATGTCGTGGTCGAGCCCGTTTATGACCCGAACAAGGACATGTTCTTCAAGTTGACTCCGAAGAAAAGGCGCGAGGTCTACTCCCACTGCCCATTCGCCGTCGAAAAGGACTGGCTGGGAATGGTCCGGGTGCCACACGATATCATGGGCCCAATCTTCGGCTGTGGAGAAGGTGTGTTTGTCGCCCATGTGGAAGGGAGTCGCAAGAGCCTTAAGATGCGGATGGTCTGGAGGAACTGGATGGCCGGGTCGAAGACGTTTGGGCTGTGGCGTGAGACGAATAGGCTCCCTTGGCGAACTCCTCAGATGGGACAACCCACCCCTCTTGACAGGCGCTCTGGAGGACACGAGCGTGGGACCGCCAGAGGTAGGTGTAGCGAGAGGTGTCCCCGGTTTGCATACTGATAGCAACTCAGAAACTTGGGCGTTGAAGATGGCCAATTGCCTGTCCAAATCGAAGAGGTCGTCCTCAACGCTCTCCTCCTGCTCAGTCTCGATATTGAAGTCGTCCTCCTCACCGAATGCCAGCTTGTACTTATCCAAAGTGAAGTCGGCCGGATAGACAACATCCTCGTTAAAAAAGACATATTCCAGCCTCTTAATGAAGCTCACAGCGCTGGCCCGACTCGCTCCGTGGTAGCCCTGGAGGACCGCAATGGTGACTTCCTTTCGCACCACGTACAGCGGGTCAAATCTCAACCTTGGTTGTTAAGTGAGGTCAATCGACGAAATAAGGACGATTCTGCTCTTCGCGAATACGGGACACGCTGTTCGAGTTCTTGCAGTCAAATAAATGGCTAGAAGTGTCCTACGCGTTCTACGCTCTTCCATCAAGCCCGTCAATTAAGCAAGTGAGTTGGGAATTGCCTGGGGTCACCCCGCCGGCAGAAGTTGTGAAGCGCAAGTCTCGCAGAAAGGACGGCGACGGGGATGGTGAAGGCGGCGGGCAACGAGGTACCGAAGGTGGAAGTGAACAGCGATCGACGAAACAGCGGTCTCCGGGGCACGCAGGCGGCGGAGAGGGGAGAAAGGGCAGCCGAGAGAAGAAGAAGCCTCGTAGCGGAGAGAAGACAAAGCATCACAGAGGAGACGGGCAGGGGTCCGATGGCGACCGCGACGAGGACGGTGGGGTTCTGGCGGTAACAAGCAACACCTCAAAGGAGACGGGGAACGACTTGAGGCCTGGGTGTATTACGCGGCCTGGCGAGCAGGACCCTGTGATTAGCTCCACTAGCGAAACACAGTTTGTCGATGCGGYTGGMGGGGCRGGTGTCGCAAAGCATGGAACATGCTTCACTCAGCTCCAAATACGGTTGGCGGATTGTCTCAGATSAATCCGAACCTCGGAGATGACCTCGTTGTCCGGAACTTAGTGCCTTCCGGGAAGCGAGACGACAACATACCACGGGTCCGGCAGCGACAAGCTGGAACCGTGTTCCGTTTSGCCTCAAAAGGAATTTCGGATTAATCCGAATCRCGAAGGYCGTGCCATCGAGGGAGCACAACTGTCTACAGAACTCGAACGGGTGATCCGGGTYTCCGAAAACCCTGGCGACSAAATTCGGATTTAKCCGAACCAGAAAGCMRTGTCTGCAATGACAGACGATCGGTGTCAGGATGCAGTAATACTCTGCGTGGAAGCCCACAAGGAGCTGCAGGCGGACTGTCGGACTGAGGGTGAGTTGGCGATCAGTTCCAATGTCGAGCCCAACACACTCGGAGCCGAGTTAGCAGTCGTAAGCGACTTCCCGGTGAAAGCGGTCATGTCGGCGTCATTGGAAACTGCGGGGGCTCGGATGAATCCGAACCAGGGCCCTGTAAACATCTCCCTCCCTGATGCATCTTTGGAGACGACCGTGATTCGGATTCATTCGAGGCACACGGACGAAGGACTTCAACAGGGATTCGTTGAGGTTTGTCGACTACTGACGACTTTGGACAAGKACAATTACGCCGACGATCGGATTGATCCGACACTCAGCAACGTCGKGATGGAGCTACCATTTCAACCAGGATACGACGATCCCTTGTACTCTGCCCTTCACAACGAGGCATTGGGGAAGGACGTTCTGAAGAAGGCCTCTGACGCTGTTGGAGATAGATTTCTCTATTTGAGTAACGACGACAAAGACACAGCGTACGGGGACAAGAAGTTAAGGGGGGGAGAGGTGTTGTTGGACATCCGTGGGACATTGAGCCCAACACAATACGACACAGTGGCAACAGAAAAAACACAACCTGACGATGTTGTGGACGTCGATGATCTTTGTCCGGAGATGAATATACCGTCTACGGTCATCGAC